TGGGTGGGGGGGGGGGGGGGGGGGGGGTAGTTTTAAAGCCCCTTTACTGTTTGTTAAGAATATGTAAATAATTTGATGTCCATAGTCTGGGCACAGACGCAGTTTAAGTTACTATAATATTGTTGTTTCATTTGGCTTGCCTTCAGTGCTAAATATTTTGTATCTTAATAGCCAATCTGGAGGCAAAATACGTTTTTTTAATGCAGCAGCAAAGGGTTAGAACTGTAACATTTTACTGCTATCTGTGTTCCCCCTTTAGGAAGCTTTTCCCTCTTCTGTTTACAATGTGTCACAACCCTATACAGAGTGTCGCAGGGATAGGAAGTGAGGGCAGTACTTCCCTATGGGACCACAGACAGCACAACCTGGAGGTTCTAACCCTTCTCTGTTTTCTTAGTGCTGTGTGTGTCTGTTGGAATGGAGGTAGTATTCTGTTGGGATGGATTCACATCCTTATTCCTGTTCTGGGAGAAGAAGCAAAAAGAAATCTTCCCAAGAGAGGCCCAGCTATATAAAAGCAAATGGTTCTAACTTTAGATGTAGAGAAGGTTTAAAGAGATTTTGTCCCTTTCCCTCCACTGATGCTCACCTTCCCCACATTACCCTGCTATCTGTTGTCTGCAGGAGCAGTGAGAAAACAAACCTAAAAATGACAGGTTTGGGGAAGCACGTGTCCTTTTCCCTTCCAAACAGGATACCGTATTCAATCCGAACACTGTCATGTGAGGGAAATGAGAAGGTCATTAACCCTGTGTAAGCTTAGATACTAATACATGAAGCTCACAAAGGGTGGCCAACCTGTGGCCCAGGGGCCTAAGGCAGCCTTTTGGCAATCACTGTGAGGCCCCTAAGTAGTCTGTGTTTTTGTCCTTACTCAAGCAAGTGAAGGAAAAATATCTGGCCTCCAGAAGTTAAATAATTTGGTTTATTTCTTTCACCAGATCTTACTTCTTTCTGTGATGTAAGTTTTTTTTAAGGGGGCTGTAGGAAGCACAAATTGTGCCTACTGTAGCGTTACATTCATTGAATAGTATGTGTGGCCCTTTAGGGATGTCAGGGGGCCACACTGGAGGCCCCATATTATAAGAAACTACCACTGGTTTAGACCAGCATTTCTCAACCTTTTTTTCAATCACAACACCCTTTAAAAGTATGTAAAGTCTTGAAGTAAAAAAACACCATAAATTAAAAATGTAAAAAATTATGTGTGGCCCCTCCAAAATCTATACCAGACCCTTACGTAGAGGTCTGTTATGGATTTTAAGAGCTGACCCCATGCAAAAGCGCACACACAACAAAATGGGGTTCCTTTCACATCAGAGTCCCCCCTTCAAATCATGAGCCCCCTTTTCAAATCAGAATTTCCCCTTTCACATCAGGAGCCTCCCTTTACATTAAGATCCCCCTTCCTTCACCTCAGTGCCCCCCTCTCACATTTGGAACCCTCTTCACATCAGGGGCCGTCCCCCTTTCACATCAGAGTCCCCCGTTTACATCAGCGCTTCCCCTTCACAATAGAAGCCTTCCTGCAGGTAAAGACATGGCACCGTAGTTTAGAAAGGCTGGTTTAGACTCATTGCTCCTGCAGACAAACAGAGCAGCAGAAAGCATGTGGAAGGTAAGTATGAGTGGGTGGGCAGTTGCTCTGTCAAGAGAATCACATTACCCTGAATGATTCTTAAAGGGTTATCCACAAAGGAGCCGAAGGATCCAGCCGTAGCTTTGGCTGATC